AAAGGTTGTTTAAAAACCCCCCCCCCCCCCCCCCGCAGAATCCAGTGGCTCATGCTACATTCGCCATCGAGTAAAATAAGTTAAAGCTCAAATGAGCTTTGCAGTAAAGGACCCTTACGCTCTGCATGGAAGCAGTGATCCCTCTGAAGAGGTCCAATGTGCCCCCTGCAAAGTCAGAGCTAGATCTCTCCAATCAGCAGGAAGCACAAGCTTTGCTTAATGGAAAGCTCTTAAACCAGCAGGCGGTGTGTCCGACCTCTGCAGAGACACCACTGCTTCACCACAGAAAGCAAGGGTCCTTCTCTGCAGGGGACAGGCTTTTCTACCAAGGTTGTGGTTACAACACCTTTTGTTTCGATGCACCTGGAATGTATTTAGTTGATTTTAATGAAGACTGATTGGAATTTAATAACCCAAAATGGTGAGTAGACTGGAAACTCAAACACAGATATTTCATCACTAGAGCTAAATGTTGCCAGAGGCAGGATCAGCTCTCTAACATTTACCAAAAGCAGAAATCATTTTTCCGGGAGGGGAACCAGCCCTTCAAGGAACAAAAACTAACAAAGTGTAATCGGAGTCATCAGTCAACGAAACCTTGAAAACAAACTGCATTTGGGGTGAAGACTGTTCTAGCTGGGAGGCACCTATCCACATCAGGCCAGTGTTATGTGTCCGTATCCAATGATGGCTCCCATAAATCAGAAACTGTTACAGGAAAATAGAATCTTACAGAATATAAAACATACATGATAAACCGGAATCTCATTTTATATAATCAGAGCTCAATTAAACAGAGGAGCACAAACACAACTTGGCTGCAGGGATAGCAATAAAAATATATCTTAAAGACATGGGGTAAATTTGCCTATATTTAGACACTGATTCTTTTTCAGGGAACGTCATACAAAAGGTAACAAAAATATTGCATAGAGCTGAACAGTCTTTATGGACGTCAGGCTGAAATGCCTGGGGTTGGAGGGCCAGTTGTCATGTCATATGCAAATGGAGGAAATCAAATTGGGAATGATTACTGTATATGGAATGATTTTAATAAGGGGACGATCCAGTGCAAGTGCAATGCTCCCATTCTACTGCAGTAAATGGTGTGTGTCCCCTCGAAAGCATTTAGTTACAGGTGTACCCAAGCAGGTTCCATCATCCGCCATCTTGGTTAAACCGTCCATGACCCCAGCAAGGATATTCTGACTCTGAAATTTGCCAGATCTGCCTGCTCTGCCACATGGTTGATGACCTGCTGATAAAAATGTCAGACGCTTGGCTGTCATGCTGAACCTCTCCGCTGTCACTGACTCACAACCAGCTGGCAAGTTAGGTGACCTGACTTCATTAGCGGCATACTTGTACCAATGGTCTGTGATTTATTATGCAGAAGCCAGAGGGTCAGCAAAATGGACCAGCTACTGGCCTTTTATGGCTGAGATCAACAATAGCAGCACAAGTTTGAAGAGAGTTGCATATAAAAAAAAAATTACAAAAAAAAGTTACCCGCAATAGAAGATTGTTTATACTCGTTCCTGGAATCTTCTCTCATGAAGAGCAATAGCCACATGAAGAGTCTTCACATCTGAAACACTTCCATGGGTCCTCAATCCCATATCCATCTGCTTAGTTCTGTTGTTCCCAGATCCATGATCCACCACTGAGTTCTGTTGTTCCCAGATCCATGATCCACCACTGAGTTCTGTTGTTCCCAGATCCATGATCCACCACTGAGTTCTGTGGTTCCCAGATCCATGGTCCACCACTGAGTTCTGTGGTTCCCAGATCCATGGTCCACCACTGAGTTCTGTGGTTCCCAGATCCATGGTCCACCACTGAGTTCTGTGGTTCACAGATCCATGGTCCACCACTGAGT